AAGATTGTGGACCTATCGCTCTATTGAAGAGAGTCTATAAGTTAATAATCAGAGGCGTAATGTTAACGTGATAAGATTGTGGACCTATCACTCTATTGAAGAGAGTTGATAAGTTGATTGTTAGAGGTGTAATGTTAACATGACGTCATCAGAAGTGTAATATTAACCTCTGATGTTAACGTGATAGAATTTTGTTGTGATTGGAGCAACTTTGAGGACTTATCATCCTATGTAAGAGGATTGATAGGTGGATTGTCAGAGGTGTGATTTTAACGTGATAAGAATTTATACTTATGATTTGGACAAGAGTTTTAAGACTTAGCATCTTGCTGGGAAAGATTGCTATTTGAACAAATTTGAGGACTTATCACTCTGTTGATGAGAGTCAATAATTTGATTTTGACAGAGGAATTGTTGTCACATAGGGGTAATGCAAGCTGAATCCAAACTCTATGGGGATAATAGTCATCATAAGTGTAATGTTAACTTGATGATATTAGGGAATTTTGTTGGCTGATATAGCTTAGACCTTGTTGAAGATGTACAGAGGTTTTGACATCACTCTATCAAAAAAGTTTGTGATACATGACTTTCATGAGAGTAACTGTCATGTTGGAAATGCAGGTTGAACCCAACGTTTGAGGTCTGAAATACAATAGTGAGTTTTGTATTTAATTTCTTGAGACGCATAGTTGACACACACGTTCAAGGTTTGAAACACAGGTCTAAATCTATGTTTAGAGTCAAAAAAATACAAGGTTAGGCCTAACGTTTGAGAAATTGGAACACAGCCATGGGCCTTGCGTTTAAGAAGGATAACCGCCTTATCCTGTAATGCTGAGATTGTGTTTCGGGTGGTTGGGATTCTATTCTAGAATCCCACGTCAAATTAACAGCTTGGATGTTGTTTATAAATAGACCCCTTTTGGGGTTGAATTAAAAGTTACTTAACTCTTCAGCTTCGTCTTAACTCCTGAACGAGAGTCCTAGTTTCCTTTAAGATTTCTGACGATCTTCACCCATCTCCGACCATCGACAACAATGGCACCAAGAAGGATGAGTTATGGTTTGAAGAAAATTGTGGGAATGACTTTGGAAACAGCGTTAGGTAGGGACGCCGGTGGTGTTCCTACTTCCACGGCCACGCCGTCGTCACTGCCACCACCGCATGCACCTGCCTCCTACATTAAGCAATGACAAACTAACTTGTTTCGACAAGTTTTTTGAAACCCTAGATGGGTTTTGGGTTGAACAAGATGAAGAAGACTCGTCTTCTTTTAATCAAAACGCAGAAGTAGGACTCTACATTGATTATGGAACACAAAGATGACATTTTTGTTTTTATGACTAGAAAAGGTTTGGAAGAAGATGAATCGAACGGTGTGTGGTGCGATTAGGTCTTGTCTAACACAAGATTTAAAATATGATGTGATCAATAAGATTTTGGCAAAGAAGATTTGGAAAATCCTAGAGGGCAAGTATTTGATAAAGAGTGTAGAGAACCGTTTGTATTTGAAGATGAGGCTTTATCACTTCCAATTGAAGAAGGGGACCTCTATTGGTGATCACATGAACAACTATATGAAGCTTCTTGCAGATTTGGCGAATGTTGATGTTATGGTTAAAAATGAGGACAAGGCGTTGTTGTTGTTAATTAAATTCTTTGCCTGACAAGGAATATGAGACATTCGTTCTTACTCTTATTAATAGGAAGGCATCACTTTCGTATAGTGAGATCACTGTTGCACTTGTAAACTATCAGCTTAGGAAGAAAGTCAAGGAGTCTTCTAATGATGTTGTAGCGGAGGCATTGGTTACAAGAGGGAAGAGTCCAAACTGGAAGAATTGGAATTCACAGTCTAGAATAGGGCATCCTACAGTTGGTAAAGATCACTGTGTTTGGTGTAAAGAGACTAGTCATTAGAAGAAAGATTGTCTAAAGCTCAGTGAATGGATGAAGAACAAGCATAAGAGAAAAGGGAAACAACCATCATTAGAAGCTAACATCGTCGATTCAGATGGTAATATTTTTGACTCATCTGTTTTTTTGCTCTCTATCAGCCCTACAGGTTGCTATTCGAAGGAATCCGAGTGGATGTTGGATAGTGGTACAACCTATCATGTATGCCCTAAAAGGGAATGGTTCTCCAGTTTTAAGAAATTGAACAATGGTGTGGTGTACATAGGTAATAACCGTGCATGCCAGATCCTTGGGATAGGTAAAATTTGCATCAAGATGTCTGATGGGATAGTTAGAGAGTTACATGGTGTGAGATATGTTCCTTCCTTAAGGAAGAACCTGATCTCGATTGGATCTTTAGCTAGAGAGGGTTTGAAAGTTCGTATTGAAGACATGGTTCTTGAGATTGTGAGAGGCTCTCATATATTGATGAAGGGCATCAAGAGGAGTAACTTATACTACTTGACTGCAAGTACAGTGATAGGTGAAGAGCTGGCTACATCTATTAATTTGACTAAACTATGATATTTGAGGCTGAGATATTCGAGTTTTGATACCGTGCATGGATTGGTGAGAAGTGATTTGACTTGTAGATTGAATTCGTGTGAACATGTTGGTGTGAGCAAGAAGACCGAGGTGAAGTTTGGCATTTCTATTCATCGAGCGAAGGGACTTCTAGGTGGTGTTCATGTAGGTATTTGGGGGCCTTCTAAGGAGGCATCATTGGGAGGTAATAAGTATTTGGTTTCTTGTGTTGGTGACTATTCTAGGTATTTGTGAGTTGCAATCAAGTCTCATTTGTGTGAAGTCCTAGTAGTCAAAAATAGATGGAAGAAGTGTATTGGCTCCTAGTAATACATCATTCTGATTTTGGTAGGGGTTCTTTTCTATATTTGTGCTAAGCTCATAGTAGTTTGAGATACTTCATTAAAGAGGAAACATTAGGGCGAAGAGATGAGGTGACAGATTTGATGAGCAGTTCCTTGATGGAGGAGGATCGGTGTTTGATGTCGAGCATTGGTTTGCAGAGGAGTTCTGGTGTTGAGGCTTCAATATTTTAGAGCCATCTTATTCATAGGTTGCAAACTGTTGCTTTTGGAGTATTTAGATTTTGGGTTGCTTTAGATATTTGGTTACCCAGCATATGGTCACATGAGGATGTGAGATTTGATTCGAGTGCACATTTGAGATTCAGAGGCTTGTTTGGTTATCAGGTATTGGACTCTGATATTGTGCTGAGTAGGTATGTCACTCTTGATCGGTGGAAAGCGTTGAACAGATCGTTGGGATATCACAGCAGGTGGAGAGTGATGCTACTCCACGTTGGGTGGAGATTATTTCACGTTCTCTTGGTGATTCTGCATCGTTTGGGATTCCAACTGATGTGACAAAAGAGTGGGGAACATATTGATGTGGATGTAGAAGATGAGTTGGTTGATTCGAGTGTAGCTGGTGGATACAGTTTGGATTTGGCTATGGCCGTTGGTTCACCTCAGGTGGAGGTGTTTGGTTTCTTAAATTTTGGGGCCATTGAAAACGTTATCACTTATAGATTTATTTGTGATGTTGGAGAAGGGTTAAAAACTCTTATCATTGATTGAGGGCCTTTGAAGGCCAATTGGTGAACTACGTGAGGTATGATTCCTTACAAGCGGATACGTAGTAAGTCATTTTATGATGCAACTGATTTGGTGAGTTGATACCGATATTTGGATTTTTTTCGCATTCTCGTTTGGGTTCTCGACTTGTTGTGGATTGAGTACGTTATCGTGGATTGTTCCACTTCGTACTGGACGCAACAAGTGGGACATTTGGTTTGGTTGGTGTCGGCTCAGTTTTGGAAAAATTTTACCGAGATGGAGAATTATAGAATTGGCGAAGAAATTATAGAAGAACAAGTTTTGAAAGAAGGGGATTAGTTTTGGTCATGTTCGGTCGACAGCGGTGCTAGGCCGTTCGACCGAATACGTGCACAAACCCTGGGTATGATTCAGGGCTTGGTGCGGTCGACAACCGTGGTCGACAGCCAAACCCTGTAATCAAACCCGAGAGTCTGGAGTTGGGTGCGGTCGATTGCTGCAGTCCATCGCCAAACCTTGTAATTGTTTTCTAGGTTCTGTCGTTAGTCATGGTCGACCGCGAGCTTTGGGCGGTCAAACGCCAGTCGAGATAGGCCTAGAATTTGGTTTTCTGTTCTGATTTGGTTTGTGTTTGATATAAATATAGAAACGTGTTTTAGGGTTTCTTGGAGGAGAGTGAATTAGGGTAATTTGGAGCACAGAAAAGAGAGTTTTTCTGAGCTATTGGTTAGGGTTTTATTTGAGAGATTAAGAGCTTTGTTGGTGAGATTAATTTGTGAGTTTGAGTGATTTTGTAATCTCAATTTGTACTCTTCTTCTCTAATATTGAAAACTCATCCCCTTTTTACCCCATGACCGTAGACAACTTGCCAAACCATGTAAAATTTGTTTGTTTGTGTTTGTTCCGTTATTTTGGATTGTTTGGTCTTCTCTCTCAGCGTTTGTTTTATTGGTCCTCGGAAAGAAAGGCAAAAAAGAAAAGAAAAAAAGGGACTCATCTTAATTTGATGAACCGTCTACCATTGATGACCCACATCACATCTCTTATTGTTCCTCTTCTTTTCCTTCTTTCTTCTCCTTAATTCCTATAAATACTCCTTGATTTCTAGCTATGTGTATTCTTCCGTACACCGTTGAAACCTTAGCTAAAACGCACCATAATTAGACCTAAATTCATTAGTTAAAGCTCATCATAACTTGAGAGTTGATCAAGGAGAAAACGGACAAACTGAAGGATAGTGGTGTACTATACTGGCTAGCATTCCGCAGACGCAGTCACTGACAAAGTCATGGACACTCCAGAATTAACTCTTGTAAGCTAGATGCCATCCAGTTACTTTAGTCTAAAACAAATAGAACAAACTTTTTGTCTTGCTCTTTGTATGTATATATACTAGTTCATTTATGAGACGTGTTCTCATTAACACGTCCTCAGCTCTAACTCTGCAAAGTCATGCACAGTAGTAATATCGTTGAAACTACCAAGCAAAATAATACATACGAGTCTTAGAAGTTACAAAGCCTAGTCATATACATGTAATTTGCAGTGGATATTTAACTACTTGAAATTAGAAGTGAAATCCCTTCCGGCATCTGGTTGCTGGAGGTAGTTCCAGTACTCCAACATGCTGAAGGGATGCTGCTGAGGTTGTGATGGAAAGGGCAGGAGAGAAGTGAAACCATCAGCAACACCTGCAGTAGTTGCATCCTCTCCTTCTACTAGTGATGCAGTTGTGGGAACGTGAAGGAGAGCGTGTTGGTCGCTGCCGCTGCTAACTCCCTTCTGCAACTTCTCTGCTGAGGACTGTGAATTAGATGAGGATGAATCTCCAGGAAAGGCGGCACATGCCGGTTTTGGTTGATTAACTGTATTCGGTCGTGATTGTCTTGATGAAGCTGTCTTGGAAGAGAGAGTGCTCGGGAGATTATAATGGTCATCACCGCCTGCTCTTTTGTACACTCGACAGAGCGATATTTCAGCCTGCAAAAGTTAGGGTTTCAGATGCACGTCAAAAAGATGGACAAGGAGAAACAAAAGAACAATTAGAAATAGAAATAGAAGAAGAAAAAGACACGGTAATGAATCTGCCTTACTATATATTGACGGAAAGATTAAGAACAATTTTCAGGATGACTATTAACACTGTACAAATAGAAAATAAACTAGAAGAAGACAAGTTGAAAGTATGACATCAATTGGTCTTTGAGGAGAAAATTTAAAAAGTAGGAGAAGAAAGGATTAGGGCATGCAATGCAGCATGCAGCAGAAGAAAGCTGAAAGACCAGTGGGATATATAATTAATCTGATCAAAAGAACTTCTCATCAAGCAAACCTAGGTTACAAGGACTACCTACATAAAGGAAGCAATTAAAGGATATATTTTGTTTGTACATAGAGACTGGTTAGAAAAATTCCCTGAAAAACAGAAGTTAGTTCTCTCACTCTCAAATAAATAACTGAAACATTCATTACCTCCTGATCTCAAATAAATAACTGAAACATTCATTACCTCCTGATCTCAAATAAATAACTGAAACATTCATTACCTTCTGATACCTATCAGTATCGGCTTGAGGCAGTCGATACTCATTCATAATCCAACTTGATCGAATACCCTTTGGGGCCTTGCCGGAGTAAAATACAAGTGTCTTCTTCAGGCCGATTTGTCGTGAGTCCTCACCTCGGATCATCCTGTCTGCTCCTGTTGCCTTCCAGTATCCGGAGGTTGTCACTCGGTTGGGTCTATCGCCGTTACGGTACTTTCTGTCTCGGGGCACGTAAAAGAACCATTCCTTCTCTCCAATGGCAGCTAATGCTGCAAATATAATAAATTATTAAGGTCCTCAGACACTGAAATTTTGCCTGTACAAAAGGATACCTGATTCTTAAACAGTTCAAAGCATGACATATTTGCATTTGATGTTGAATTAAGAAAAGGGCGAGATAGATATCGTTGACCTAATTTTCATGAACAAGCAGAACTGCAATAACTACGACAGCAATGGACATTTTAAGCACTAAGGAGGCAATTAGGAAAACAAAAGGACCTAAGAGCGCAACCTTCAGGAAACCATGTAGATTGAGAGGGGAATTAGAAACTAAACAAGAAGTATTGAAACTATGTATGCTTGTAACTTTCTAAATTTATGCTCTATTTATCTTGAGCCTCATTAAGCTTAGAAATCAGAAAAATTATGGCGATTAATTGACAGGAGCAGACAACAAGGAAGAAATTTAGAATGTGTCTTAGCTACTAATAAAATCCAAGATCCGAACAATTTCCAATAGTAGGACAAACAAGTTCTCTAAATAACTTAAAAACTTTGACTTCAGATCTTGAAACCTATGAAATAGTAGAAAATCATGGAAAAAGGGGGAAGGATGAGAGAATTAATATAAACTAGAGAACTTGCAGGATATATAGAAATTAAAGCTCCAAGAAACAAATTATTTCCACTAAAGAACTATCCAATAACCTCTTTAGGCCATATATAATTTATGCTGATGTAAACCCTAATCTTGAAATCTAGAATCGGCAATGAACTGAGAGCCTTAAGATAAGAACTTAAATGGAGAAGTTACATAGATAAATATAAAACAGGTGACTAATCAAACCTGGGAGCTCCCAAGGATCGTAACGATACAAATCTAAGAAGGTAATGAGCTCCACGTTGAAACGCTTGCCTTCAACCTTGCGACGCAGGTAGAACTCAATCAGCTCTTCTTCTGTTGGGTGGAAGCGAAACCCGGGCATCACAAGGTCATGTTCGTGGTCGTCTCTGCTCATGTTTTCTTCGATGGCCATGACTCTCGAAATTCATCACCTCTTCCAAGTGCTGACCCTCCACCCCTTTTATTACTAGAAGTCTTGGACCAGTGCAAGTGGGAAGAGATGGTTGAAACTTACCAAGATAAAAATAGATATCAGTACTAATAGTGATTTACTACTACCTACTTAAACAACTAGCCAATCTTGTATATATGAGTATATATAGATAATATTATATTTATATATATATGATAATAGTTATACTAGTTATATAGTAATTAATATATATTATATATATATATATAATATATATATATATATAGTATATAATAAATATAATACTATATATATCAAAACAAGAGGTGAAGGATATATGAGAGATCTCATATTATAGTGTGTAGACTAGCTAGGGGGGCCCGACAAAGGAGAGAAGGGGTTGAAAATTAAAATTGAGGGACGGAGTTATGAGAGAGAGGGTGACACTTTAAGAAGAGGACAGATGGGCGGTAGCCCTAATGAGAGGTGATTGGCCCCCCTTCCCATGCCTCTCCTTGTCATGCATCTCGTCTACGATGTATATTGCTTTTCTTTTTTACCATCTCTTCTTCTCTTTTTAACCACTTCTACTTGCTCATCAATATTTTACAAATAAATTCTTATCCTTTCTTAATCTTGGCCGCACCCTTAAAGGTCTGATATGCAACTGTAATGAATTGCATGTCGAACCAACTTGGATGAGATTAATTTGTAGTTCATACAAGTTCATGCATATATGTCTTATTTATTTCTCATTTGTAAAGACAAGTGATCAAAAATACCAGATATGTCTTTATTAATATGCATGTCATTTTAACGCATATGTATGCAAACATATTCTTTATTTTGTTATCGTCATCATCAAAATAACATGTGGCCGTTGATATGTCAATATGTCATCATCAACAACCAGGTCTAATGGAGTTGCTTATGTCTAGAACACTCCAGTGGGTATTAGCACAATTTCTACAATCAACTGTCAGCTTGATGTTATCCTTCATTTCAATTGTACAATTTTAAGCAAGTCTAGAAACTCCACGTAAATAAAAGAATTTGTAACGCGCATGCATTTTTAAGATTATCTCTAAGGCACTTTCCTTTGGTCGTTTCATAAGCTAATAGTCGGAGCGGATAAGTTTCAAGCATAGACATAAATTTCTTTAGGGAAAATCATTTCCACCCCCCTACAAAAAGTAGTCGATGCTTTCCACTCCACGTCAAATGGTCAAAGGTGTTTACCCCCTTCAAATTTGAATTTCATTCTTCTACCCCCTTTGTCAAGCAGTCAAAGGTATATTGAATCTTTCAGAAGTCAATCTTTCTTTTTTTTTGGTCAATGAGAATTTTATTCATTCAAACCAAAAATGAGAGTTATGTACATCATGATTCTCACAAATTGAGAAATATAAAAATCATTTACAGACTAGGGATATTCCCCACAAACAAAAAAACTACAAAGAATTAATCCATTCTCTATTTTCCGGTTGTATAGAACTATTTAGAACTGGGATCAAAATGTCCATTTTAATCTCACTCACTAGCTGCTCAATCCCTTTTGATTTCTGTGAGAAAATTCTGGCGTTTCTCTCACACCATATCTTGTAAAGAGTTGTCGCAAAAGCCATCCTCTTGATCCCCTTCTTGAATCCCCTGCCTCTTAAACAATTGTTGAACCAATCCAAAAGGTAATTCCATCTACATGATCTCCATCTAAACTTGAGCCAACTCATGATCCTATTCCAGACATTCTGAGAATAATCACATTCAAAAAATAAATGGTCGCGATCTTCAGGACCTACACCAAAACATAAACAGCAACTATTTGATTGAATGATCCCCATCTTCATTAACCTGTCTTAAGTCAGTAGTCTGTTCTGAACAGCAAGCCAACAAATAAACGAGTGCTTGGGGTAATTCATTTTCTCCCATACAGTGTTAAACCATGGGACATGAGGAGCAGGGGGAGATAAGGCTACATACAGTGCAGAAATTTTAACTTTAGAATTTTTGTAGCATGAACTAATGATTTGTTTCAAATTGTCAATTCCATCAACTAAGACTGATGCTTTATCCCTGGATTTAATCAGTTGCTTCCAAAGCCAAGAATCCCCATATTTAGCCTTTACATGCCATATGTCTCTGTTCTTCAAATATTTTCCATGAATCCACTTTATCCAAAGGAGTTCCTTGTTCATATGAATATACCATATATTCTTCAAAGCTGATGCAAGGTTCCATAATCGAGCAGAAAAAATGCCTAGACCACCAAATTTTTTATCACAACAGATCTTACCCCAAGCTATTAGTGATGGTTTATGAGAATGGTCTGTTCTTCCCCAAAGAAAATCCCCGCATATGTCATCTTCTGAAGCACACCAACAGGCAAGATGTAGCAGGATGTCCAGTATATTTGAACACGAAGTCAATCTTTCCACATGGTTACAATATTAACTTTTTTCTAAATTTTAACTTTAGGGTCCGTTTTGTCATTTTTAGATTTTGTTTGCAATTTTCATTTTTTAACTCACTGTTTTTCGTTTTTCGATTCGATTTTTTTTCTTATGATGTTTATAAATTTTGAATTTAGTTTGTAATTTTTGGAATTTAGGGACTGGGTTTTGTGAATTCCAGATTTTTAAAATCTTACTTAAAGTTTTTAGAAGTAAACCATGCACTTGGCTATTTGATTAGAGAGTAAAGTGGAAAGGTGTCCAATGTGCCTTTGATGGTTGACTAGGGGGACGATATAAAAACATTTGAATTTAAAGGCGGTATGCACTTTTGACCATATATTTTTCCTTAATTTCACATAGTTGTAATTTTACTTGTAAAGTAAAGGGTGTCAGATTGCAATAAGTTATGTGTTAAATAAACAAAATATAAAAGGGGTAAGATCTCCAGAATCCTAGTTAAGGTCTCCGGCGGCGAAGATAATCCAAAAAGAGAAAGTTGTAGTCTGTGAAGTCAAAGGTAACCCGTGACCACTTGATAATTGGATCAAGATCAAGACAACTACGAGCACGCATGCTTCCCCCAAACACCAAATTGATAATTGGACCAACTATAATACATCCGCTAGAAGCTCATTTTGCACATTAATATGGACCCCTATTGTATCTGTAACAGTAAAAGTTGGTTAAATTTTCAAGAAGGATGACAATACATCTTGGATCCAGCTCTCTCTTATGTAGTATGACCCCTCCTCAACTATCAGTCCAAGCACAAAGTAACTCCATCACCCATCGCACCTCTCCACATTAATTGATGGCCAAGTCTTCATGTGTGCCCTACTCTTATTCTATATAAGTGAAACCATGACAGCTTTTTAGTGCATAAGGTCTCTCTCTCTCTCTCTCTCTACATATTAAAATGACGTTGGTCATACAAGTATTTTTAGGGTACCCATATTTTTATGCTGTTTTCATAATACGTCTATTAAAATGACAGGATGAATACTCCGTGCATAAGGTCTCTCTCTCTCTCTCTCTCTACATATTAAAATGACGTTGGTCATACAAGTATTTTTAGGGTACCCATATTTTTATGCTGTTTTCATAATACGTCTATTAAAATGACAGGATGAATACTCCGTGCAAGCAGATTTCAAGACAAATAGAGGTTTCCTCTGTTATTTGTCATTCACTTGTGGAGAAATACTCAAAGAAAAGTAGTATAGAAAATATTAGTCTCGTGCCTACAACGATGCACATACTCTATATATAGTGTCTTCTTCGTGTCACGATGTGGTGATCAAGCACACAGATTCGACAAGGATCCCTTTTCGTTCCTAGACAGCTAGCGTTAGTATTTGTTTGTAAAAAACAAGATAGTTTCACATTGGAATTTTGAACATTCTTTTAGAGGTTTTAAAGCATTGAATGCTTATTGGGCTTTGAATAATGGATCAAAGTGTAGACTTCTAAACCCGTGTGCGGGTAGCGCGAATAATGCGCGATTACTAGACGCACTTAAATATTCTATTTTTTAATATATAATTATATATTGAATATATTTTTTCATGTTATTTTGAATTTTAAAATATTATGTAAAGAAAAGTGACTGTTGAAAAGTGGCTGTTTGCTCTAAGGGGTGTTTTAAAAAGTTGTGACGGTTGGAAGCACCTTTTCAAACCTATAAATAGTTTATGTATTCAGATATCTATTGACAATTCTTTTCTGAATCTTTTCTATCAAAAACTTCTGCAATATTAGAAACTTGTTTCACAGCGAATTATGAAAAATTCCAGATTTGCTTACTGGAATTTTCATTTTCTGTTGTATCCTGGGAAGAAAATTTGCATTAAACCGAAGCAACTTTGAATATCAAGTGGGGGCAAATATTTCTTTAAGGAAAGTATTTCACGCCTTAGAATTTCTGTCTCCTTCAATTTTTAAAACTAACAATCTTAAAGAAATAACTCTGCTACGATGGAGTCGGAATCAATCAAGGTGATGAATCAAGACATGGTCAAATTGGACCGATTCGACGGGAACAATTTCTCTTGCTGGCAAGACAACATGATGTTTCTTCTTACAGTATTGAAGATCTCCTACATCCTCAATCCCAACCTATAGTCCATAGAAGATCCAAAACCAAGTGCAGACGACAAACAACCTACTGAGGAGGAAATAAAAGAAATCAAAAAGCAGAAAGCAAAACAGGAGGAAGATTAAGTGCTGTGTCGCGGTCACATTCTAAACACACTTTCGAACCGATTGTATGATCTTTTCACGAGGATAAAGTCGACAAGGGAGATCTGGAACGCACTAGAATTTAAATACAAAGCCGAGAGGAAGGTACAAACAAGTATTTAATTGCAAAATATCTAGAATATAAAATGGTTGATGACAAGTTTGTCGGAGGAAGGTACAAACAAGTATTTAATTGCAAAATATCTAGAATATAAAATGGTTGATGACAAGTTTGTCCTAGAGCAAGTTCATGAATTGGAGGTTCTGGTTAATAAGATTCATGTTCTCAAAATAGTTCTTCCAGAGTCTTTTCAAGTTGCTGCAATTATTATAAAACTACCATCAACTTGGAAAGATTACTCGAAGAAACTAATGCATAAAACTGTGGATATCTCTTTGGAACAACTTCAGA